GTACCCTGAAACAGTAAAGCACACCCCACATGTAAAGCTTGTAGATGAAGCTGGTGGCACTGGCCAAATGGAGTGTGGCTCTCTCTCACTCCTGTGGGGCCTCAAAATGTGCGTTTTTCAGGACTGAGTACTCAGTTCACTTAGTGAAGGCTGAGGCACCATTGAAGATGTAACACAGGGAGGTGCTGGTTAAGAAAAGTCTAACCCAACATATGTCATGTTAAAAGATAATGTTTTAATCATAATATTAGGATGAGACAGAAGGCACACTATTAAACTATTTATAAATAGTTATAAGTACACATCCAAACAAACATTATAGGCACAAAGGAAAATCACTGGAGAAATTATCTGTGTGTAAAAAGTGTTTAAAAGTCTACAATTTGTTCTCCTTTAAATTTTGTTGCTTTCTATTTTTGTTTTTGTCTTTTTTGAGACAGGGTCTCACTCTGCAGTACAGGCTGGCCTTGAGCTCACTTTGTAGCCCAGGTTGATCTTGAACTCACAGTGATGCTCCTGCCTCAGCCTCCCGAATGCTGGGATTAGAGGCGTGCGCCACCACACCCGGCTGTTTTATATTTTTTTCTAATGAAAGTGCTTACTTCTACAGTTATGTAATACTTTATTTATAAAATGTTTTCTGGTGAACACTGTGTTTTTCTATCATTTAAAATCATTTATTAAATAAATATGTGTCTGGAACTGTCTTCTCCATCACCCTAACCCCCAAAATTCCCAATTAATGACTTGAATGTAAATGTTAATCTCTGCACATTAAAAATATTGTGTTAATTGAAGAAGTAAGTCAATGAAATTCAGCAACAGTTTAGACAATCTCAAGAGAAGATGCAGTAACTTTGACTTTCAGTATGTGGCCTCTAACGGAATAGGCAATGTGTTCTGTTTACTGGGTCTTTGACCTTGTGTCCTTGGAATCAAGCCAAGGAATCTTCCTAGGAAATTGTGCCCTGAGGATGATCAAAAACTGCAGTATTCGGAAAGCCCATTACATAAGGAGCCCTGAGATTACCCAGTTGGGAGGGAAAGTGTACACTCTCTGGAATATATTCTCTGTTCCTTCCCCCATTCCTTTTAGATGAAAAGTCCTAGGGAAGTTTCCACTTGACCAGGCCCTGAAAAGAAATTTCTAGGGTTATACAATTTAAGTTGCTAAAATATGAATGCATTGAAACATAAAAATGAGTTGTATCAAGAAAAACAAATATATCTAAGATTCCTTCTTACATGATTTTCATATTTTATTTCTCAGAGTGATTTGAGGTTCACCTGTTTCTCCCTGATAATTTTGGAAGAATTTTTATTTTTCAGCAATTTTGTCTCACAGTAAGTATTGCTCTTCACATTAGGATGAATTAGATCATACAAAGAGAACGGACATTTCGTCAGAAAAATTTGTATTCATATATCATTTAGTCCTTACCACGAGTAATGGTAAGGGCTGTTAGTACAGAGATGGTTGTATCAAAATCTCTAAGCAATGTACATATTTTGAAAATAGAATATTCTGAAGAAGTTTCATTTTGATGGTCAAATTAGGAAAATGTGTTCTGAGTTGAAGGTCCACAGGGCAGCTCACTCCCACAACCCAACCCCTACAAAATTGGGAGAAAATTTATTTCAGTCCAAAGAAAAGTGTCCATGAATAGTTCCCAAGTAGATGAAGGGGTCTGTTAGGCCTCTTCATCTACCTGTGCCAGGACTGTGGGGATTCCATGGCAGTGTCACCCCCAGATCCCTTTCTCTCTTGTCCAAATTAAATCAGACCTCGGCTTCCTGGTGCCAAGTTCCACATACGCTTCTCAGAGGCATGTGATATTTTTGGACACAGCATTCCTTCTCCGGTGGTCTGAGCTGAGGTCAGGAGTGGTGCAAATTTGTGCTCTCCGTGGGAGAAATTTGGAGAAGCAGACTGTCATTAAAAATGCTCTGCTTAAAATTTCATTTTAACCTTTAAAAATAATATCTTCCAAAATAGCAACATGTGGTCTGTAATCTGAGTGTACTTCACCCAAGTCCCAGACAAAGTGAAATTTATTGTTTTTAACATCAAATGGCTTTGGGGATTAAGTGATGGTACAATGATTTCTACTTGTTTATTCATCATACATTATTACATACCCTTTCTCAAATTAGAAAAAAACAAGTTAAAAACAGAGACATAGTTTTATAAGCATGCTCTGTCACATGAAAATTGCTTAATGGAGTCACATTTTTAATGCATCTTTGCTCTCATTTTACATAACTGAAGACTTGTGCCCATTTTCTGATCTAAAACATGTGCATAATACTATGGTTAGATATGCTCATATGGATTAAATGTGGTAATAAAGCAAAGCATTTGGAATAGGGTCAAGGTCTTTCTAAATACATAGTTTAACTTTTTATATCATAATTGAATGTCATTATATATCACATTGATAAGTAAAAATTAAAATTATTTGCTCCTGTTCTGTCAAATTTTATCAGTTGCTAAAATACTGAAAAAATTACTATAACACTGGGCCGTTCACACAAATAAAGTAATGTCATGGTCAGTCAAGCTAAGTACCAACTTTCATTACTGAAGTTAATGCAAAGGAACATCATGCCAGAAGCAAAGTCAGAAATGTGCCTGACTTCATCCTTATGGGCATGATAGATTCTAAAGAGATGCAACTGGTCCAAATCTGCCTGTGTGATTATCGTCTAAAATATTCATGGGTAGCATTTTATTTGAATAAGTTGGTCAGCAATATAATCTGTGACAGAAATATTTCTTTATCCGCCACGACATATTATCTCTTGAATTTTAAAGAAATGAGCATATTTTCTTAGGAGATTTTGATCTATATTTGTTCAGGAATTAATTCAAAATCCACAATAATTTTTCTCAGATTCAAACTTTGCATATTTTTATTCACTCTTTGCTTCCTCATCTAAAATAATGCTGAAAGGAACACTTCAGCTTTGCCATTATGTTTTAATTTCTTCTTTTTCTTTTAATGACTTTTGATTTCATTATATAAAAAATAAGTATTTGTTTACTAAATTCATTTCAAAAATTTATGTCTCTCTATGAAAGAAAAACAAATGAATTTCAGCAACAGTTTTGAGGATTACAAAAAAGGTGAATTGTTCATGGGTCTTCCAATGCTAAAGAAACCACTTTTGTGAATTTGTACTTGAACTTTTGTCCTTGGAAACAGGCCAAGCAACCTTCCCTGGAAATTCCACCCTGAGGATGACCAAATGTTGCATTCTGAATGCTCATTATATAAGGATCTTGTAATTATTAGCTAGGGAGGGAAGTCACCCACTGCCCTGAATATATATACAATTTCGCCCTTATATTCTTTTCAGATAAAACTTTCACATAAAGTTTCCATTAGATCAATAGTTGAACTGAATGCAGTTTAACTCGTGATTAAAAAAATGCACAAAATCATAAAATGAAATACATCAAGAAACACCAATAAGTGACAGATATTTTCAGCTGCTTATTTGTTTTTAGTATTTTATTTCTAAGAATAAGTGGAGCTTGACAAGGTTTTAGAGAGATAACACTGGAAAAAAGTTTTATTTTTTCAGCAACTCTATTTCACAATATGGATCATTTTTCAAATTGTAGGAGATTAGATCGTACAAAATAAAATGTCAACTTTGTCAGAAAAATTGGCATATGTATATCTTTCAGAACTTACCATGAGTAATGTTAAGATTTGTCAAACTAGAATATAGAATGGATAGACTGAAAGTAATCAGCAAATGTACACAATTTGAAAATACATTTTTAAAATAAATTTGAATTTGATGAAGTTGAGAGAGGATATTGTTAGTGGAGCAAAAGGTCCATCCTGCCCCTTGATTCTGCACAAAAGTGGCAGAAACTTCCTTTTACTGAAAAGAAAAGAGTTTATTCACAGCTGCTGGGAAGGAGATGAGGGTGGAGCTCTTGCTGTCTCAGACCTGCATCTTCCTGTGCACAGTTGTAGAGGGCTTTCACATCCAAATCCCTCCACACTCCCTTCCTCCTTTGTCCAAGTTAAACCAGACCATGACCTACTTGGGCAGCTCTGTGGCTTCCTTTCAGAGGGACATGGTGTTTTCCTGGGACAGCATCACTTCTCTGTGCAGTCCTCTGAGTGGAAAGGAAGGCATGGATGGTGTGGCTCTCAGCAGGAAGATGAGGGAGAAACAACCTGTCTTTTAAAACAATCCTCATGGGTAAAATTCATTTCAAATTAAATTTCAGTTTCGATATTTTTAAGAAGAATAACATGTGGATATAATCTTAATACGCCACACTCAAACCTCCAGTAGTAAATTTAATTGGTAATTGCTGTCAAACAGCTTTGAAACATAAGGGACAGTTAATAATACATGAAAACTAATTTTAAACTACTTTGTTATATATCTTTTCCAAGGTTTGCTAAAACATTATAGTCAAGAGTAAATGTTTCTAAGGCATGTTCTTTGCAGTCAAAGCATCTTAGTAGAATCACACTGTTAATGTGGATTTTTCTCATCTCAGATGTTGCTCTGTTTCCCTGCTCTGATATAATTTATGCAGATATGTACTAGTTAGTGTCTGCTGTGAATTATTCTCATATAGATTGAACGTGTTGACTAACAAAAGCATTCACAATTTTAACAGGTTCATCCTTCTTCTTCCTTTTTTAAATTTTTTTTCCAGTACTGGGAATTGAACTCACGACCTCACACTTGCCAGGCAGGTGCTGTGTGGCTGAGCTAAATTCCCAGCCCCCATCCTTCTTACCTAGGCTATAATCTTTTAATATATAGGCAGCAAATGCCAATTTATATCCATATCTCTACAGGGCAATAGTTTTTCACTTCTACATTGTAAAGACCAAATGATTTCAGGACACACTAAGTTATATTAGTAACGAGTTTTGTCAATGACACACTATAATACTTTTAAAGTCACTCAGGCTAAGTATCAGATGTGATCATTCAACAGATAAGTGCAGCAGAACAACATGGGTAGAAGGAACTCCACCGGTGTGTCTGACTTCATCCTCCTGGGGCTGGCGGACTCTGCAGAGGCGCAGCTGCTCCTCTTCCTGCTCTTCCTCCTCATCTACCTGGTCACGGTGCTGGGGAACGCAGGGATGATGCTGCTCATTCGCCTGGATGCCCAGCTGCACACCCCCATGTACTTTTTCCTCACCCACCTGTCCTTTCTCGACCTCAGCTACTCCAGTGTCATCACTCCTAAAACCTTACAGAACTTACTGACTTCTTCCAAGAGCATCTCGTTCCTGGGCTGCTTCACCCAGATGTTCTTTTTTGTCCTCTTTGGTGGTACTGAATGCTTCCTTCTCTCCTCCATGGCCTATGATCGCTATGCAGCCATTTGCAGCCCTCTACTCTATCCAGCTATTATGTCCTCAAGAGTGTGCCATGCCCTGCTCACTGGTTCCTATATGTTTGGCTTTGTTGATTGCACTGTCAATGCAGTTTGCATGAGCAGACTGCATTTCTGCAACTCTAAAGTCATCCATCACTTTTTCTGTGACACATCCCCCATTTTAGCGCTGTCTTGCAATGACATATATGACCTTGAAATCATAATATTCGTTTTTGCTGGTTCCACCCTAGTTCTGTCCCTCATCTCCATATTTGGATCCTATGTGTCCATTCTCTCCAATATCCTGAAAATTAATTCCACTGCAGGGAAGAAAAAAGCCTTCTCGACCTGTGCCTCTCACCTCCTGGGAGTCACCATCTTTTATGGCACTATGATCTTTACTCATTTAAAGCCCAAGAAGTCCTACTCCTTGGGAAAGGATCAGGTGGCCTCTGTGTTTTACACGATCGTGATCCCCATGCTGAACCCTCTCATCTACAGCCTCAGAAACAAAGAGGTGAAACATGCTGTCCTCAGAGTTCTGCAGAAGCGAGGCGGCTCCACAGACCTAAGATAACACTGACGCTAGATATTTACACTTGTCCTTTCCTTTTTCTTCTTTTATGAAAATTTTTTGATCACACTCTAAAAACAAGTCTTTGTATCTGAATATAAGTATGTGTGTATATGTGTGTGCATGTATGTTCATGCACTATATTTTACTGGACAATTTTTATTAGATGGACAAGATTCCACCTACCTAGGGAAAATTCTCATATTATTGCATGCAGTTTACTGTCTCCAGTATAAGTATTATTCAAGCCGTTGTGAAGATGTATCTATATATCTGTCAGGAATGGCTGCATTTCATCAACTTTTTTAGTAGTCACTCCTGATAGTGACTTGCAAGAAGATTGAGAGATTAAAGGCAACCTTGTTCCTTTCAGGATTCTCTACTCTTTTCATTTGCACAGAGTGAGTGTTCATCATATCTAACTACACAGCTGAGATTCCTGCATCCTGATCATGGCTATTTCTTCCTCTAACTTTTGCTCAAAGTGAGATATTTCATGGGTTCTTCTTGTTCCGCTTGGAAGTTTCTTGTCTTTGTTCTTTAGTTTTTACTTGAATGTGAACTGAGACCCAAGAGAAGCTCACAGAAAAGTGTGATTTCCTAGATTCAAGGATTTTAAAAAACAAGTTTGTGAAAGATTCATTATACCTTTTTACATTCTATGTGGAAAGGGAAATTCTAAAATCCTATAAATGCTATCCTTTACTATGACTTCAACGCTATCTTATAAAGGTTGGTACATTGTGTCAAACTGAGAAGTTTAGAAGTTTAAGCGACTCAGCAGGGAGCCGGGGTCCTCACTTTGTAAACATCCTCATCCTGTGCAAGAGGAGGACGCAGAGATGGTGCGAGTGCTACACCCACCATCCGGTAGGCAGCCTGCTTACAATATAAGGGAGGAAAAGAGGCTTGCCCCTACCTCTTTTGCTTTTGTTGCTTTTGCTGTCTTCCACTGCCTTCAGCTGTTGCCCCTCACCATGCCACCCTGCACTGGAGCCAGCTGACTCTGGACTGAAACCTCCACAGACTGTGAGCTAAATAAACCTTTCCTTCCTTAATTTTAGATGTTGGGTATTTTGTCTCAGCAATGAGAGAAAAGTAACCAAGACATATCTTTTATATCTTACTTCACACTTAACAATGCAGCAGCATCCACTGCACTTTTAAACTGTGAGGCACCTCCACATCAGTACAGTGTAATTTGAACCCAACAGTCTGCTCTTAAGCTGTTGCGTTGTTTCTTTGCTCTGACCTTACTTCGTTCTTCCTTTCAGTTTTTTTTATATGATTTTACCTTGTTAATAACTCAAGCCCCAAATCTGTTACTCTACATCTGCAGAAACGAGTTACTAAATCCAGCAAAAGTCATTTCTTTCAAACCCTTTCAGTGTGTTCTTGTTTTGGCCATTGACTTAATGAAGATCATTAATACCTTCTAAGTTTTTTTTTGTGGAAGTTGAATAACAAAATTGACAGTAAAAAATGTCATTTTTGGATGTAAAACAAATTTTAAAATAGGACCTCTGTAGACCCACCCAAATTCAGACATCACTGAGAGGAGCTATGTAGCACTGAGCAAGGCACCTGTGTTTAAAATTTTGGACCATTTTCTCATTTATGGTAAGAGGAAATAACACATTTTGTTGGAGATGTTACCACAGAAATTATGTGCATTAAAGCATGTAAAATATTACCATAATTCCCCGCTACTTAATAAGCTGCATATAAGTGTGCATTGTTACTCTTATAAGGGAGAAATGTTTTTTCCATTATTCTATTTCTGCCAGTGAAAATGAATTTGTCAAAGTGTTTAACTAGCGTGAGCATGAAAATTTATTTTAGAGAATTTTATATGATGGGGGCTTGATAATGCCCAAGCAGAGGCAGGCAGCACACACAAGCTATTCTCTGAAACTTAAAACTGGTTACTGTCTTTGATTGTTTGATCAATCTTACATTCTCACGTCTGGTGGACTCAGCAACTTCGTTGAAGATAACAGTATGTAATGTATCAACCACTGTTAATTCCTACCATTTTGTTTTGAGATCGTGTATCTTTTTTGCGTTGTTTTCCTTTCGTCTTCATTATTGTCGTTTTGTTAGTTTTTTTATCTTTAAAATAAAAAAAGGTTTATGCACACATGTGCGTGGTACACAATAATTACATTCGTGTTGGGGAATTGGTACATAAACACGTTGCCCTTGATCATTTTTAATCACGTTCCCCCTTTAGGCCTCTCTGCTCTTCTATTCCTGAGATTCCCTTCCCCTTCAATAACAACCCGTGGTGCTATTTCCCACCATCTCTATTTTATTGTTCTCACTGAATTATCTCCACGTTGTGTTACTCACATAATCAAAAACATATATTCCTGTATATTTGTGCAAACCAACAAACACACAACTCTTTGAAGAGACAGAGGAGCCATAAGAATCACTAGATCACACCTTGGGTGAACTAACACTCAGAGCCGCGGATATGTAGAGAGATAGTAAAGTAACAGAAGGAATCTAGGCGGGCCCTGGGTGCATAGTGGCGCGCTGTGGGCACTCAGATTCCCATCCTCTCTCTCTAGGAAAGAAACTGCATCGTGCTCTGTGCGTACTGACTCTGCCACAGCACAAGAATATTACAAAGAGAACGGATCTAGAGTTCTGGACCCTGAGCAGGGGCAGTGGTAATTCCAGTATTTCTCTCTTCACAGGGACAGCGTTGCGTCAGGAGCCAACTCAGAAGTGCCCTCTCCCTCTGCCTCAGTAAAATAAGGAAAATTAGCGCTTGGGCAGGCCCTGCTGAGAGCCATCTGCAGTAACTCCAGCATGGCAGGAAGTGCAGGAGCAGAGGACCACTCCCCCCATTCTTCATGTCTAGGGAACCCAAGGCGTTTCTCCCTCAGAAGACAATGGCCCTCTCAGTGAGGTTTAGTCCTAGAGAACAGCTGCTGTGACACAAAGAAACGAAAATCAAGAGGCTGAGGGGAGTGTGCTAACATCTCGGTGCTGAAGAGCCTGCGTGGAGTGACACCCACAGCGTGAAGCCCAGGGGCCCGAGGCGCACATTCAGTCAGGCACAATGAAACTCCAAAGGCTGTTTGCCTTTTTTTGCCTTCCAAACCTCGCGGGAATCTGCGAGAACTTCTACATCCGGGTCCTGAGAGGTGAAGCTGTGCAGACTCTAGGATCACAAGATGCGGCTTCCTGCCATTGCGAGCCGGGCGGCCTTCTGCTGTCTGGTATGTTTCCGGTATTTCACTGGACGCGGGTAGCTCCCATCTCTGCACTGATAATACTGGTATGGTCGTGCGTGTATTGTTTACCTTCTCCATGAAAATTGTGTCTCCAAGTCATTGTGAATGCCTGCACCCCTTTCTCCTTCTCAGTGGCTCTGAATAAACCCTTTTCGTTGCAGCAAAAGGAAGTTTGTGCCACCTGTGTGGAGACAGGGGGCGTCCTGACCTTGCACTCCTTCAACAGTGTCTTCTCCCTACTTGGTCATTCACAATCAGATGCATTTTTAAAATATGTTTTTAAATTATGAACGTTTGGTGAAGACTCAGATTCCACCGACTCTATATTCTAGTTTCACAAATCTGAACATTAGTCAAGGTCAGCCCTAAATGATGCACGTATGCCACCTTTTTCTGACTGTATTTTCATATTATTTTATATAATCTAATCCCCTCCAGTTTGAAGAATGCTACTTACTATTAGACAAATTCACCAGAAAATGAAAAAAAACTTTCCATTGTTAGCCCACTAGGATCTTGACAAGCTCAAATTATTCTCAGAAATAAAATACTAAATATAAATATATATATATATGTATATATATCTATATATACACATATAAGCGCACCTGAACATTTCTGTGATATATTCGCGTTTCTTGGTGTAATTACTTTTTCTGCTTTTGTGCATTCATTTTTTTTTTTTATTGAGGTAAATTATATTCAGTTGAGCTCTTGCTCCAACAGAAACCTTACAAAGAAGTTTTATCTGAAAAGAATCTAAGGGCAGAACTGTGTATATGCACAGGACAGTGTGTGGCTTTCCTCCAGGCTAGTAATTCCAGGATGCCTCATATAATGAGCAATCAGAATAAGGATACATTTGGTCATTCTCTTGGCATAGTTTCCAGGGAAGTCTGTTTGGTCTGATTCCAAAGATGACAGTTCAAGGACAAATTCACAAAAGAGTTTTTCAAGAGTTTTTCAGCCTTGCAAGACCCATAAATAATTCAACTTTTTTGTAATCCTCGAAACTGTTGCCGAAATTCATTTAATTCCTTGTCACAGTGACATAGAGGATATATCTCTGCAGAGAATAACATTTGCATTGAACTGATCGGTCAGGAATGTTTGGATTGCTGGAGAAGATATTTTTAGAGATATTTATGATTAACAATGTAAAGAATGCAATATAAAATTTCCCCAGGAAATATTTTATATTTAAATGTATGACTTGACCATAGAAGTAAGTCATATTCATTAGAAAAAAAAAATAGAAAACAACAAAATTCAAAGAAAACATGAAATAATTCAATTTTTCAGCTCAGCACATAGGCACTGGGAATTCAGCCCTCCATGTGCAAGGGCTGAGAATTTGAGGCACTGAGGCCATGGTCAGGCCATGAGCACAGAACAGGCAGACACGGTGCTTCCCCTCACCCTTCTTCCCAAGAGCAGAGGAGCCTGAGGGGCAGGTGTGGTCCATCCTACCCCTGGCAAACCTGGCTGAGGACTGACAGAACCATGGAGGGGCAGAGCTCAGCCTCCAGACACCCCTATAACGTGTCTCCTGTTTTGGCAGAGGCTGAGAAGGAGATACAGAAAAAGGAAAGAAAGCATGATTTTCAGATTCCTTCCTTTACTAGGCATTGTCCAACAGTAGACAACAACATGGCGCAACTTGACTATCAGCCAGGAGCCCCTCCACCGCTCCTGCAAATTCAGAAGCTGATGCTGTGTTTTGAAGAGGGCAGGGGCACGCTGACATGGCTAAGATCAGAGAGGGTGAGACCCGAGTTCACTGTTCACATTCCTGGTCCCCACAGATGCCCTTCCAGAACATTCCCTGGTTTCAGCATTGCCTTCTCATTGGGTCACAGCCATGAAACCAGAGGCTCTTTGCAGCCCTGTGCCTATCACAGTCCTGCAACCCCTACCCAAGGGGCACCACCACCACTTCTTGAGTTAGTCTAGGAGGGCTCCCTCCAGCAAACTGGAGCCCCAGTGCTACAGCACAGGTCCTAGTTAAATAAAGACTCGTACTGGTGGTCCTGTCACCTGATTATGATGTATTTATTGGGTATCATGGGCTCAAAAAGCCTGTAAATCTGCTCAGGACTAGTGTTCATGAGTACTGTAGATAGAGTGATGGGTTCCAAAGAAAGAGCAGTAAACCCTAGGGAGGTCAGCACTGAGGAGCTCAAGAGAGCAGCAGCTGACGAACAGCAGCAGCAGCCCCCAAAACTCAGCAGAGTTCGCAGCAGTGTTTGGCACAGCCAGCCCCAGAAACCATTGACTGACAGCAGCAGAGAGCAGCGCTTGATAGCGTCCACCTACCATGCGCAGCAGAAGCGGACACCAGAAGGTGGACAGCAGCAGCTAATCCCAGCCCTCAGTGTAGTGGACCTAAAGTGCTCAGCACAAGCCTGCATGGATGGTGGTGGCCAACAGCAGCGCTGACCAGCAACTCTTGGGACAAGTATGCCATTCCGCATTATAATTTTATTCATTTGTGCTGGTTCCACCCTAATAGTGTCCCTCATCACCATATCTGGATCCTACGTGTCCATTCTCTCCACTATCCTGAAAATGAGTTCCACTGCTGGACAGAAAAAAGCCTGCTCCACCTGCGCCTCTCAACTCCTGGGAGTCACCGTCTTTTACAGCACCATGATCTTTACTTAAAACCGAAGCAGTCCTACTCCTTGGGAAAGGATCAGGTGCCCTCTGTGTTTTACACGCTCGTGATCCCCACACTGAATCCTCTCATCTACAGCCTCAGAAACAAAGAGGTGAAACATGCTGTCCTTAGAGTCCTGCAGAAGAGAGCGGGCTCCAGGCCATTAAAATTACAGTAGTTTTAAATTTTTACATTTGCTCTTTCCTTTTATGGAAATTCTGTGCTTAATTAATGAAAATAAGTCTATGTGTCTGATTTCGTGAGTGAGTGTGATTATGTGTGTGAATGTATTTTCCTACATTTTATTGGACAAATTTTATAGTTTCCATCTTCCTAGAGAACATTGTCATATTCTTGCATGCTGATTTCTCTGTACAGTGGAAGTGTTATTCGAGCCATTGTGAAAACCTCTAGATAAATGTATCAGGAATTCTTGGTTGATCAATTTTTTTTTAAATTAGTTGTGCTCATGTGTGCTAGAGTGACCAGCCAAGAAGACTTAGAGTTTAAGTGTCAGATCTTTCATTTCAGGGTTGAACAGCATTATTGCACATTGTGGGCATTAACCATGTGGTAGTACACAGCTGAGAATCCGGCATGCTTAACACCATTATTTTTTCCTCCATCTTTTGCTCAGTCTGCAGTATTTCATATGTTCCACCTCGTACTCCGGGGAATGTCTTGTCGTTGGAATTACGTTTTTGGATGGATGTGATCTAAGAACTTAAAGAAGTTTACAAAAATGTATGATTTTCTAGATTGACAGGATTTTTATTTTATGTATTTATTTTTCTTAAATGTTCAAGTTGTGAAATGATAAGAATAAACATGCCTTTGTATCTGGAAATCAGTTCAAGGAAATGTGTCTGGTTGCCAAGTTGACAAGGAGTGGATCAAACCCACAACCTTTGGGATCAAACCCACAACCTTTTGCATGCAAATCAAGAACTCTACCACCGAGGCACATCCCCAGTTAGATTAACAGGCTTTTTAAAAACAAGGTAGAGGTAAAATGCTTACGTTAGCATTTTACATTTTATATGGAAATGGAAATTTCACAGTCCTTTAAATCTTATCCATTGCTATGATTTCCCAGCTGTCTTTTGTCAGTTACCTTGCACTGAACACTATAGTGACATCTGGTGCACTTTTAGCCTGTGAAGGCAACTCCACCTCAGGCAATTCAATCTGATACCATCCACTCTGCTTTTAGGCTGTTACATTGTTTCTTTGCTCCTACCTTGCTTCATCCTCTGCTTTATTTATTTTTCTTTTTCTATTTTTCAGTTTTTTACTGAAACTGTTACTACATGTGTGTCTTGGTTACTTTTCTTTCATTGCTGAGACAAGTTACCTAATGCCCAAAATTAAGGAAGGAAAGGTTTATTTAGCTCACAGTCTGTGGAGGTTTTGGTACATAATCAGCTGGCTCCAAAGCAGAGAGGCAAAGCAGAGGGGTGACAGTTCAAGGAGGCAAAAGACAGCAAAAGCAGCAAGAGTTAAAAAGCAGCAAAAAGGGGGGAAACAAAGCTCCTTTCTTCCCTTATACTGTAAGTCGGCCACCCCTTCCTCTAGGCTGGGTTTGCACTCACACCATCTCCTTGCCTTCCTTCTTGACTGGATGAGGATGCTTACAAACTAAGGACCCCAGCCCCCTGCTAAGTTAAACTTCTAAACTTCTCAAGTTGACACCTTGTATCAACCATTACAATCCACTCCTTGTCAGCCTGGCAACCAGACACGTTTCCTTAAACTGATTTCCAGATACAAAGGAATGTTTATTCTTATCATTTCACAACTTGAACATTTAAGAAGCAATTCTAAGTCTGTCAACCTTATATTACATTAGAACCATAACATTTTTCCCCAGCCCACCAAAAACTCTTGCATGTCCCTTTATGCCAAGTTCCTAACATTTTCAGCACTGCTGAAATGTCCAAGTCCCATCTCCTCTGGAGTGCTAGGAAAACTCTTAGTTGTGAACCCCAGTACAAATGAAAAGTTAAATACTTCCACCGTTCAACATTCAATTCAAGATATGCATTTTCATTCCAAAAGTTACAAAAAGTGGGATACAAAGAATGGGACCAAAGCAAGTCCACAATCCAGCATGGCAAACATCTGAGGGCATCTGTGGCAAGTTATGGCTCCAACTGGTTTGGGTGACTCTGCCCCTCTGATACTTCCAGAGGTTGTGACTTTCATAGATTTTCTCTAGGGCAGGCATTGCTCTCTCCTTGCAGATTTCCTCAGAAAATCCTGTTCATGGCTTTTCAAAACTTTTGGGGTCTGCATTGCATCTTTGCCTTCATCCTTACAGTTTCACATACTGCCCTTTCAGGGGCATACTGCCCGGCCTCCCAGGCCTTCTGAAATTGAGTTGGAAGCCTTCTTAACTGCATAACTCCCATACTCTGCATGCCTTAAAACCAGTGACACTTGGATGATGCCAAGGTCTGCTGGCAGCTCGAACAATAGGCCTGATTTTTTCTGTCTTGGCTGTTGGATTCAGGTGCCTAGGTCATTGGGTGCTCTGAATCCAGTTCTGAGGATCAAATGCACGATGTCATCAAAATTCTGGAACATGGTGCTCTGCAGCTTTCTCTTCAAAGCAGCCTCTCACTTGTGCAGTTTGATGGTTTATCAACCATAACAATGCCTAAAGGAATGGAATCAATTAGAAAATCCAGCAGAAATCCTTGGTACAAAGCCTTTTACTATGTTCCTTTTTCCTCCCATATTGCTGCCTTTGACTTAATGAAGAACATTAATACCTTGCAAAGATTTTTTTTGTGGAAGTTGAATAGTAAAATTGGAAGTGCAAAACATCAAGCAACTCCTTTGTTTTCTCATACATATCAACCTTAGAATTAGATCCTCTGTAGACCTACAATTTAGGATCAAATTCCATATCACTGGGAAGAGCTATGTAGCATTGGCAAGTACCTGCATTTAAAATTTTGTATAGTTTCCCACTGGTGATGAAAGGAAATGGTACAATATTTTCTTGGAGGTACTACCAAAGAAATTACATGCAGGAATACATGTAAAATGTGAACATAATTGTTCACTACCTAGTACACATCTTATAAGTATGCTTTATTACTTTTGTAAGGGAAGAATGCCTCCACAATCATTCTAACATTTATGCTAGTGAAAATTAAACTGATAGAGGGTTTAACTAGGGTGAGCATGAAAATTCATGTAGCAAAATCTTATATGATGGGGGCTTGAAATTGCCAGACCAGAGGCAGGCAGTACACACAATCTAGAATATTTAAAACAAATTTTATTCATACATTCATGTGGTGCATAATAATTATATTCGTGGTGGGGAACTGGTACATGCCTCTATGGCATCTGTTCATTTTATTCATCCTTCCCCTCTTAGGCCTCTCTGCTCTTCTATTCCTGAGATCCTTCCCCCTTCAACAACAAACTGCCTCCCTATTTCCTATCATCTCTATATTATTTTTCTCATTAAATTATTTACACATTGTATTACAGAAGGAAAAACCAGGGTATTTTTCAAATCAACAAAGATATACCTCTTTGAGAAGACAGAGGAACTATAAGTAGTTGTTGCATTACAGCATACATGAGTTAGCAGTGAGGTGAAACACAGGCCCATTGGCATCTAGAAAGATAAATAAAGACACCAAAAGAATCCATGCAGGCCCTGGATAATCAGTTGATCAGTGTGGGAGGGAGATTCCCATCATCCTTCTCCATGAGAGACACTTCAGCATGATCTCTGATTGCTGACTTTGCTAAAGGACAGGGAAATATCAGGAAGAGAATGGAAAAAAGTTCACCCTGCTGGGCAGGGGCAGGGGTGATAATTCCCAATATTTCTCTCTGGGTAGGATAGCACAGGTCAGGAGCATCTGAGAAGTCTCCTCTCTCTCTGTCTCAGTAGAACAAGGAGGAATAGCGCTTGGACAGTGCTCTTGCTGAGAGCCATCTGCAGTACTTCTGACATGGTAAAAGGACTCAGAATGACGTGTTTATAAGCTTAGAAGAAAATAGCTACCGACCTACATGACTATATCTGAAAAGATTACCCTAAAAATTTGAAAAGAAAATAAATACAAAGAAATGATATTTTTGCCCCAAGTACTTCAGAAGATGGTTCAGAATGATTAAGTGTTGAGCAGTGGGTGTGGACAGGAAGGCTGGGTCAGTAAACAAGTCATAAACTATAAACGGGGACAGAAGCAGAGATTAAGGGGAGAAGAAATAAACAGAAAAGAATGAACAAAGGCGCATTGAGCACTCTAATTCCATGGGAATGAATATAACTCGTTCACTACTCACTTCAATTTTTTAAAAGTAAATCACATCTTCCAGGCACATTTTAATCCCTTAGAAATATAGCTCTGAAGCAAATTTACACAAAATCTATCTTTATGAACATTACAGCAACATAATAGTGGATTTAAATTGTAATCAGATCTCACAACCAAAATTAATGAAATAGAACTTTTAAAGGGTTAGATAGAAAAGGTGCATAATGATAATGAAAATAAAAGACTTATTTTTCAAGGAACAGCAAGTTAGATGTGCAGAATGTAATACTATTAAATTGAGTTTTACTTAGTGTCCTTATTTTATACTTTTTCTGTTGATCTGGACAACACCACATGATAGGAGACTGATTTTTCCCAACATGGCAGTTCTGAGATATTTTTATACAAAAGGAGATCCTCGAATTTTAATACAATGTAAATTAACACCATTTCATGCTGAGTTTGTGAACACTATACACCAGCTAGTTGTGGGCATGAATGAGTTCATTCCAGTTTCTTGTTCTCCTCTTTGAATTTCCCAAATACTGTTTATTTTGTTTCAACTCAAGCAACAGCACACTGATAACCCAAAACAAAACCTTGACTAAAACATTTCCATACATATTTGGAGCCCTGGTGTTTATGAGATTCACCTAAGTGAATTTTTGAATGCTGGAAAATTTTTGAATTTTATAATACAAGAATATGCAGGCATATTTTAGAAGGTGGTTATTCCTTTCTTCCAGAAAACTCTCCTAAAACATTATGATATGGAAAATAAACTTGATGCCTTTGAATGGCTAGATTTTTAGAACACAGAATC